GATGAAAGGGACACGCACCTCCCCTCCTTGTCTGACACTCTCTACAGGGGACATTTACCAGAAAATTTAAACTACTACTCTTTAAAAAAAAAAAAAAAAAAAAAAAGCCACCACGAAGCCCTTGTGTTTCATATGGGGTGACTAGATCTGACCATTGGGAAGGTTGTAATCAATCGCTTTCGGTGAACTGGTTGATGGCTTTAAATTCTAAGAGAGGTGGAAAGTTTCCACTGACATAAGGTGTCCTGATGCCCCCATGACTGAGGGTCGCACCAGCAGCGTCTGCCATGCCACACATGCCCTAGTCTGTGTTGCCTGCTTGGCAGAATACAGTGGGGCCTTTCCAGCACCCAGGTATGGCTGCTGAGAGATGCTCACAGCCCTGCATCTGGGCCTTTGCTCTGCTTTGGGTGCTTCGGAGAGGAGGAACACACTAATGATTGGGGTGGTGTGCTGTGTAGGTGCCAACCTGACCATATGGTGTCCATGAGCGGAGGCTGTGTGCCACTGACACACAGCCTGCCTTCATCTCAGAAAGAAAAATACAAGGGAACAGTCACAACATTTGTTTGCAGGTCCAGATGGGGACAAAGTGGTAGCTTTGTTAGGAAATCAGTGGAAATGGTTTTTTTTTTTTTTTTTTTTTTTTTTTTTGAGACAGAATTTTGCTCTTGTCACCCAGGCTGGAGTGCAATGGCATGATCTCAGCTTATGCAACCTCTGCCTCCCGGATTCAAGCAATTCTCCTGCCTCAGTCTCCCTAGTAGCTGGCACTTCAGGCAGATGCCACAACGCCCAGCTAATGTTTGTATTTTTAGTAGAGATCAGTTTCACCATGTTGATCAGGCTAGTTTCGAACTCCTGACCTCAGGTGATCCCTGCCTCATCCTCCCAAAGTGCTGGGATTATAGGTGTGAGCCACCACGCCCGGCAGAAATGACAAATTATAATGTTTTCTGGCAAATTCCTGGAGGTTAAGAATTCAACACCATGTTTTGTTTTTATAAAAAACCTTTACTAAAGTTTTAGAGGCAAAGACCTATCTTCAAACAGTTTGATTTGTAGTTGGCTAGAATTATATTTTACATTATCATTTGGTGGGTAAACAAGGCTCCCCTCTGCTCAAGTCCTTGAAGGCCCAGTACCCAACAGTTTCATCCTCTTACTGTGGACACAACATTCAGATGTGACGTGAAGAGTAGTATGGACCCAGCGGAAAACACCCAACCATGAAAGTTAAAAGCTGGTTAGACACAAGGAGAGCACATCACAGAGGCAATACCCCTCAAGGTCTGGAGTACAGCTAAGGGATTTGGAGTAGTTGGGACTTGGCTGGGAGGAGGGGGTGTTAGGATGGCCCCTGAGTGTTTTGAGGCAGGAGAGGCCCCTCAGGACTGTGGGGCCCATGGAGAAAAGATAAAAGTCCAGGTTCTCACTCCCTGCTTAGTCTCTCTAGCACCGGAGCCAAGGTCAGGGGCTGTTGGGCACCCATTCCAGCCTCGAGGAGGTTAGGGTCCAGGCTGTGTGTGGGGTGCAGCAGGCAGGGCAGTTACTGTCCACATGTGTTCCATCCTTTTAGGGTGCCTCTCTCTGATCTTTGTATAGACAGAGCAGACAGATTTTTGTTGGAGCTATCTGTTCTGTGCCCGTTAGTGCAGCCAGGTTGCTGGTGCCTTCAGTTCCAAAGTCTGGGATGACGAGGCTAAAACTCAGGGAGCTGCTGCCATGTTGCTTCTCGGGTCCTGAGGCCCCAGCTAGTGTGAGTTCTCTCCTGCGTCATAGCTTGTTTTGTATGTAACATCCAGGGTTTTGTTGCACTTTGCAGGAGGGATTGGAAGAACTACATGACTTCTGGGAAGCAGAAATCCACACACTTGCTTTTATTGGTGCAGGGAACCCTAGTCTACCTAAGTGATTTATAAGCCCCTGACGAGGAGGGTCCCCACTGTGCCCTCCTCTGCATCCCACAGTTCTGGGCTTGAACCTGAATCTGGTCCCCTGTGCACCACGACCAAAGCACTTGCTGCCCTGTGGGGATAAGTGAGATGCTGTCATCTGGTTCTTGTGACACAGACAGGTTCATGGTTTTGGTGGAAGGGAATGCACCATGCAGAACAGCAGTGGGGCTCCCGGGAGGGCTGGCCATGAATTGAGACTTTGAAGTAGCCATGAAAGCTAGTGGCTCGTGGAGGGAGGTGGAATCGAGTCTGAAACTCTGAGTCAATGGTGGAGAGAAAGAGGATGCTTAGAACAGTTAAGTGTCACCTCTCCCGGGCCCAGCCTCACCACATTCTGCCCGTGTGTGAAACAGGCGGCCGGGCTGTTTCACACATGGACATGTGCCATTTCTTACTTCCCTACCCTCAGCATCTCAGGCCTCACCTGCCCTGCATAAAACCTCAGTCTCTTCTCCTAGGCCATTCCTCCCTGGGCCTCACCTTTCTTGGGTGGCCCCAATTCCTGCCTCAGGTCAGACCAGGGCTGGTGACCCCAAATGGCCCTGAGCACAGGGCTTATCCCAAAGGAGGAACATGGGGGTGGCCACGTACACCACAGTGCTCTTGCAGGCATGGGTTTGCCAGAGGGGTTGCCCTCTTAAAAATGTATAATTTGTCATCCAAGGAGTCCCCTTGGGAAGAACCCATGCCATGGAAACCAGGCAGAGCACTGCCTCGGAAGCTGCCACACCTCCATCTGTGCCCTGTGGATCCACATCCCTCCCATTTAGAATGAGCACATCATAAGGCCGATGCCTTTGTTTGGGTTTAGCTTTTAGTCCAGGGAGAACCCACTCTGTCCCAGGCTCTTGGTTAATCCAATCTGCTGCAGCAGCCAGACCAGACGGACCCTACAGGCACAGTCTTTCTTCACATGAAGAGGGACTCTGTGCCCCTCACTCTCTGACACCTTCTCTTGACCTTTATAGTGCTGGTCCCCACACCCCTGGGCAGTGTAAATGTGCCGCCTCCCCTGATGCCCCCACACTGTTCCCATCACCCTGGGCACATCCAGTCTCACAGGGCTCTCTGTGTGGCCGTATGTAAAATTCAGTCTACTTCTTTCTCCCACTAGCTTCATGGCTACTTCAGGGCAGGGACTTTATCGACTCATCTGTGTCCTCGAAGTCACCAACTTAGCATTTGCAGAGTGTGAGGTGCGAAGAGGCTGGCTGCTGGCCAGGTACTGAGATCCCATTTCTATAAAAGAACCACAGACAACCATATCCATATGTGTTCCTGTGAGTGTGCAGGAAATGACTCGATAGACATATGCACACTCAGCCCAGCTGATCACAGCTGAGGAGTATTACAAGTCTAATTTTATTTTAAAAAATTTTTATTTTTGTGGGCACATATTAGGTATATATATTTATGGGTTACATGAGATATTTTGATATAGGCATACGATGCGTAATAATCACATCAGGGTAAACAGGGCTTACAGGTGTCGTTTTAAAAGTCATCTTAATTGAAAAGTCCTTCCAGACCTTACTGTGTCAGTGAGTAATAAATTATGCTGATAAGTGATGATGGATGGGTTCCATCATTGAGCAGTACCCGTTGAGTGCTGGTTGGGATGCCAGCTCCCAGGAAGACAGTCCTCATGCTGGGTCATCCCGGCTCCAGAGTGCATTCACCCTGCTGCCTGCAGCATGTTCCAGAGCCTGTGCTAGGGCCTTCTCGCTGTCTGGACAGCCATGGGCTCTGCTGGGTTGAGACGAGATGCCTGAGCGTTGTACTCCTGTCTAAGCTGCCTGAATGTTGCCTCCATGGTGGAAGTGATTTGTCTTTGAAGTCCTTTCCAGAACTGTCAACCAGCATTCCCCATCCCCAGAGCAAGTCATAATGCCTGCTCACTGAAATGTAGAAGCCAGACTGACCCCTGGAGCCTGGAGGTCTCTGCTCTGAGGAGCGCCTGTTGATGACATTGCTTCTGCCTGGGCTCCCAGTCCTCCTGGCTTTCACTGGCAAAGCAAAGACGTGAGCCTCCCCAGCCCCAGAAGCAGGCCACCGTGAATGCAGCAGACTCCACAGGACCAACCCTCCTGGAGCAAGCCATTCCCTCTGCTCCCCAAGACACCTGTCTCACAGAGCCTTGTGTGTCAAAAACTAAAGATGCTGCAAATAAAAATAAAAGTGATAAAACAAGATTTTTTTTTCTGAGATGAGGAAAATACCTTCTTCATAGTTTCCAAATGCCACCAGTCTCTTTGCTTAAAATTTTTACTTTAGACTAAGCTCCTTACGTTTCTGCTTGATTAATTCAGTGGACTTTGGTTTTATTTTGCAGTAGCCTAACTTTAGGGTAAAGTTTCCACACTGCCACAAATGTGTCATGCCACGCGCTGGCAGTTGTGTGCAGGACCTCACAGAAGGGAAGCAGCTGTCCTCTGCTCCCACTCCCACTCCTTCCTCTACTCATCTCCCCTCATCAGCTGCTAACCAAAAATGCATGGAAATGCTCACACGCCTCACAGCATCACCTTCAGGGGGCCTAGAATGCTGGCTAGCAGACACTGTGTGGGGCTTGCACATAGGAAGAAAAGAAGAAAGCAGGAAGGGTCTCTTACTTGTGATTAACCTTAAACAAATCTCTGTCTTACAGTTGAGAGAAGGAATATATGGGAGAATCGGCAAAGCTTAAGTCCCCAGTCCAGACTGCTGCCTCCCTGAAGGCAGAGGCACTGGCCAGTCCGCCATGCCCCAAACCCTCCACTTGCCACTGATTCTTTCTGCTTCAGGTGCCTGCTAGCACCTTTTAGCCTGTAGGTCCTTTGGTTTGGTGTCTGTGGAGCAGTTTGGAGAGCGCTAGAGAGTCCATTTTAGGGGACTGCACTTAAGCTTGCCTGGTTTCAGCTCAGCCTGCGGGTCTGGAACACTCCCATGCACCTGGGGTGTTTATGCATCATGTGGATGGAACAGCAGTGCCAGGTGTATCATGGCAGAGGGCTCAGGCGGGGCTCGGTTGTGTGTCCCCTCTAACTGCCCTCTCTCCCACAGAGGAGGCAGAGCGTGGCAGCCTTGGCGCGGGCTCACTCTGCAGGCGGAGGCGGGCACTGGGCGCGCTGCGCGACGAGGGACCCCGGCGGCGCGCACACCTGGACATTGGCCTCCCGCGCGACTTCCGCCCCGTGTCGTCCATCATCGACGTGGACCTGGTCCCCGAGACGCACCGGCGAGTACGGCTGCACCGGCACGGCTGTGAGAAGCCACTGGGTTTCTACATCCGAGATGGTGCCAGCGTGCGCGTGACCCCGCATGGGCTGGAGAAGGTGCCAGGCATCTTCATCTCACGCATGGTGCCCGGGGGCCTGGCGGAGAGCACTGGGCTGCTGGCCGTGAATGACGAGGTCCTGGAGGTGAACGGCATTGAGGTGGCCGGGAAGACGCTGGACCAGGTCACGGACATGATGATCGCCAACAGCCACAACCTCATCGTCACCGTCAAGCCCGCCAACCAGCGCAACAACGTGGTGCGTGGCGGCCGCGCCCTGGGCAGCTCGGGGCCGCCCTCGGACAGCATCGCAGGCCTCGGGGGTCCCCCCACCCCGCGCATCCTGCAGAACTTCCACCCCGACGAGGCGGAGAGTGACGAGGACAACGACGTCGTCATCGAGGGCATGCTGGAGCCCGCGCGGTCCTCTCAGGCCCCGGGCGCGCCTGCAGGCAGCCTCTCCCGGGTCAATGGTGCGGGCCTGGCGCAGCGGTTGCAGCGGGACCTGGCCCTGGATGGCAGCCTCCAGCGGCTGCTCAGCTCCCTGCGGGCCGACCCGCGCCACAGCCTGGCACTGCCGCCAGGCGGCGTGGAGGAGCACGGGCCCGCAGTCACCCTCTAGACTCCGGAGAGGCCCCCAGATCTTAGCTCCGCTTCCCTGGTAAGGACAGGGACAGGATCTGCAGACTGCGCCCCCTCCTATTTTGTTTATGTGATCACAAAAACCCTGTTCTTTACTTCCACTTCTGGATAGAAAACACAAATATTGCCTATTTTTATAGAATTTCTCCACAGAACTTAAAACGAACGCCTACAGACCCACTCTGCAGCAGGCCTGAGTGCAGGTCCTAGCGCCTTTGCAAAGTGATAGGAAAGATCTGACCAAATGCAAAAAATGCTTTTTTAAATTTTACAAAAATACTTTGTTTTTAAAATGAAGCTTTAAAATTACTTTTTAAAAGTACCAAATTCACATTTTTAACTTAGCCCATGCAAAATATGCCTCAGCATTCTCACCGTGCTTTCTGCTCTAACTTGCAGGTGAGGACTGTGCTGATAACCCCATCTCTACTGAAAGTACAAAAATTAGGCAGGTGTGATGGCGGACACCTGTAAATCCCAGCTAGTCAGGAGGCAGACGTTGCAGTGAGCTGAGATTGTGTCACTGCATTCCAGCCTGGGTGACAGAGCAAGACTCTGTCTCAAGAGAAAAAAATGAATGCACCCAAACCTGTCATAGGTACAACCATGGAAATGAATTCCAGATTTTCACACTGTTCATAGTCATAATTCAGCTGGGACAGGAGATCTCCCACAGCTGTGATACTATCCCCGGGGCTTTTTATTTTGTTTTGTTTTGAGACACAGAGTCTTTCTCTGTCCAGGCTGGAGTGCAGTGGCGTGATCTCGACTCACTGCAACCTCCACCTCCTGGGTTCAAGAGATTCTCCTGCCTCAGCCTCCAGAGGAGCTGGGACTACAGACACATGCCACCACACCCAGCTAATTTTGTATTTTTAGTAGAGATGGGGTTTCACCATGTTGGCCAGGCTCGTCTCCAACTCCTGACTTAAAGTGATCCACCCACCTTGGCCTCCCAAAGTGCTAGGATTACAGGTGTAAGCCACCACTCCTGGCCAGGGGCTGTTTTTGTGACTCACACAGCTGAACCATTCAGCCTCAAGGGGGAATCCATGGTGGGAAGCAGTGGCTCTGCTGGACTGGAAGGCAGGGCCCAGCAGTCCCATTTGGGATCAAAGCCTCTGTTGCCTCTGAGATGACAACCAGTCTTATTCTGTGGGTTGACTGACTCTGAGGGAAATTTCTGAAATGTTTTCAGCAGAAATGAAGGATAAGCATCACACACCTCCAGCAAAGGCGTTGATCAATGCAGTCATTTGCATGTGAGTTCTCATATTTGTCCTTGAAACAGACATTGCTTTTTGTAAGTCACAATTAATACATGCTAATTTTCATTTCTAGGTTAGATGGTCACTGGCAGTTCTTATTTTTAACTGTAATAAGTCATGTGGAATTCAGTGATTTTTAACAAATACTGAATTCATCCTTTGTTCTCCAGCAACATTTATACATTTAGTAATTTCAGAAGTTCATATTTGCTAAAATTAAATTTTATATAATGTGTTTTGCTTGAATACAATGTTGGGAATAAAATGTTACATTCACACTTTGAGAACTTTGACCAAATCTTTCATACAGATACAGGTAAAAATATTTTTCTAGGTTGTCGGAGCCACGCACATCCTGCTGCTTCTCCTTGTGGCCCAGCACCACCTGCTGGTCAGTGGCGGAACTGTCCTGACTTCGTGAACATGGGGCTGCTAACAGGGAAAACTGCATCTCAGCATTTTCATTTTTTCTGATTGTTAAGTGAAAAGCAAATTATTTTCTTCTTGAATGCTATTTATTTGTAAGAAATAGCTGTTGCTGAGGACTTGTGAATTCCCGCACCTGTGTTTGATGTTATTTGTATGCAATGGATTGCTGGCCTTTTGTTCCTAAGTACAGAGAAGACCAAAGATGCCTCCCGGTGACCTCTCCAGTGAGGATCCACATCCCGCCAGACTTGCTCTCTGACGAACTGGAAAGGCATGTCTTTCGGTGCCCCAGCAGTCAGAAGCGGTTTTTGTGGAACTAAAACTAATGCCCTTGCTCTCGCAAAGGAAATGTTCTTTTACTAAATTATTGCTGATTACTGAATGTCTGTTGTATAATTGGGTCTGCTATCAAGAAGGAAAGTTATATTTCTTATCAAATTTTAAGTTTTTAAGCAAATGTGAATTTTTTTTTAAAGAAATAAGGCTTTCTCTGAGAATTGTGTGCTATTCATAATTTTAGAAATTACAAACTGCTTGGAACAGCTACTTAAGTGTATTTTTCTACACAGGACTGTACTTCTGCCACTTTTTCCTTTTACACAAAACTGTCATATCATGTATTAAAATTTCCTTGGTTTTATATATCAGAGAATAAAAACTTTTTTGACTTTTGAGTAAACAAAATGCATTAATGATATAGTTCAGCTGTGTTCTAAGTGGAAGAGAATACCAGAGATAAAGTAATCCCTCAAAAAGAGAATGGCAGATTTATAAAGTGCTTATCATGTGCCATCTTTTTTCACTGACTCTGCACACATTCTCTGAGGCAAGTAGATGAGAAAATGGGCCCAAGCTCAGATAGACAGATGGCAGTCCAGAACCCTCTCTCAAAGACTTTTTGAAAAAGTTTTTCTGAATATTTATACAGTACTTCCTAAATATGCCCTGATTGGCAAAGTTTTCATTAACACTTGTTCTGGCACCATCAAGATTCAAATTACAATGACAAATGCGATTACTCAGCAAGTTATAGATGAGATCTCATGGAGCACCAGCACCCTGGAAGCAGCGCGGACACCCCACTAGGAACTTGACAAGTACTCGCCACCTGCTGAGTCTGAACAGCAACTCTGGACTGTGGGCAGCCTTTGCAGTTCAGAGGTGGGGAAACCGGTGGCTGGATAGTTGACCCCTCCCAGTCTGATGAGCTGGAGCTGATGGGGCAGAGGTAAAGTGCCAACACTGGGTACATACTCCAAAACTAATGACCAGTTTCAGAGACACATGGCACAGGATGAGATGCAAGGCTTAAGTGTGAACAGAGGCCACATGTGCACCTGGCTGCTGGCCAGGTGTGGCCTCAGGGCTGGGTTTCCCTGACCCAATAATCCATATCATAAACCCCGGAGTATGCAGTGATATTGTGAATTTATTCACAATTTGGTGAGGGTATTTAATATTTTATGGTTTCACATGAAATGATCGCAGGGAGTGGGAGTTTTATGGCAAGGTGCAAAAGTATTCAGAAAATGCCATGATAGTTTTATAAAATCCATTTTAGCCAAAATCTAAATTTTCCAACAGAAGGCCATGTAAGTTACTTGTACCTCTGTGGAATGTTTTTAAAGGATGCAAGTATGAACCAGATGTGATAGGGTCAACTTTTGATCCTTGAATTTTAAAAGCTGGCACTAGTATTAAGTTTTTTATGGCAGCACTAAAACTCACCTGGTCTGAATAGTTTATTAAAAAGGTGTAAGGCTGGCCGGGTGTGGTGGCTCACACCTGTATTCCCAGCACTTTGGGAGGCTGAAGTGGGCAGATCAAGAGGTCAAGAGATCGAGACCATCCTGGCCAACATGGTGAAACCCTGTCTCTACTAAAAATACAAAAATAGCCAGGTGTGGTGGCACATACCTGTGGTCCCAGCTACTCGGGACACTGAGGCAGAAGAATCGCTTGAACTCAAGAGATGGAGGTTGCAGTGAGCTGAGATTGCACCACTGCACTCCAGCCTGGCGACAGAGCAAGACTCCATCTCAAAAAAAAAAAAAAAAAAAAAAAAAGGTATAAGGCTATACTAATGGACAGTTCCCAAATGCACTAAAATACTTAATGTGTACCATCCTACTGAAAGTATGAACCTACTTAGCTGATTTCCAGCTTGCTCTTTTCTGGAAAAGTAAGCTGCTCAGTGTGAGCTCAGGGACTTTCTGTTTCAAACAGATCAGAGGATGAATACTCGTCCCCTCAAACAGCTTGTTTAGAGTGCCTACTGGCCAGGCACAGTGACTCATGCCTGTAGTCCCAGCACTTTGGGAGGCCAAGGAGGACAGATCGCCTGAAGTCAGGAGTTCAAGAGCAGCCTGGCCAAGATGGTGAAATGCTCGCTATACTGAAAATGGGGGGGGGGGGGGGGGGAAACTAGCCAGGTGCAGTGGCATGTGCCTGTAATCCCAGCTACTCTGGAGACTGAGACAGGAGAATCGCTTGAACTAGGGAGGCAGAGGTTGCAGTGAGCCAGGATCACACCACTACACTCCAGCCTGCGTGACAGAGCAAACTCAGTCTCAAACAGACAAAAAAGATTGCTTGGATTACCCACAGAGGGTCTGATTTAAGGATCTTGGGTGGGGTTTGAGAATTTTCATTTCTAGCAAGTTCCCAGGAGATGCTGACGCTGCTGGTGCAGGAATCACATTTGAGAACTATTGGCTAATTCCCCAAGCTTATAGGACTTGCCTATAAGCTTGGACTTGATGACCAAGACCCTATCCAACAAGCACATAGGATTTCCCTCTAAGATATTATGTGCTGGTATCAATATTGTAATTTAACATCAGGTAACCTGCAAAAGTATTTCCTAAATGCACAAATACCGTTTTTTGAATTATCTCCCACCACCACCATTCTGGTGCCACATCGATAAACCTAGTCATCTTAACTTTTCCTTTCTGCCTTGAATATCTCCTATTTATTCCTGAAGACACTCCAAATCAATATACACGTTCTTTTTTCCCTCTTACCTTTCCTCAATTATCTTGTGCTTTATTCTCCTTTATCCTTATGGAAAGAAAAGAACTTGAAAGTATTGAGAATGTTTTCAATACTGAGACATGTTCCCAAGGAGAGACATAAACTCTGAAACAGTAATAAAAATCAAACGAAATGATTCAACATTCTTCTTGCAACACAGAAAAATGAGTGCCATTTTCCAATTTGCTTTCCCAGTGAGCTTTGAAGATAAACACATTATTTCTTGATTTGAGTCCCCTTGCTCCCAAGACAAAGTGCCAGGCAAAAGCTCTTTTAGAAGAATTGTACTTCCGGTAGACTGTCATGTGAGCTGTTAAGCAACATGGACGTGATGACAGAAAAGTCTGTCTTGCCACTTTAGAGCCAAATTACACACCCTATGTGAAACCCACCTGAAGTCAGACTGCAGAGACCCAAATGTATAGATGAGAGGATCAGAGTATGGAATCTCCTTTCTCATGATAAGACTGCAGCAAAGAGGGGCACAGGGCCAAACATACCTCATATGATGGGACTGCGTAATGCCAAATGTATGACAGGTCAGCATCCAAAATCTACTTCCACAAAGCCAGACCATAGGGAGCACCACACATGAATAAGGATAACATCCAAAATCAATTTCCAATTAACCAGACTCCAAAGATGAGCACACACTGATGAGAATCAGAGATGGAAAACCACCATCACAGAACTGGGGCACAGAGACTACCAGTCATGAAAAGAACTACACAGAACCAGACTGCACAGGGCACCACATATATGGATAATGGGATCTGAGCCCCAAATCTACTTTCAGTTACTGGGCTGCACATCCCCACTTCATCTTCTCAGAACCAGGCCGCCGCAGAAGCACCACAGACACTGATGAGAGTACCAGAGTCCCAAATCTACTTCCATATAAGGAAACCCCACTTCACGTCCTCTGCTTGCCACTACGGTTTTGTTTTTTGTTTCCCATGCCAACATAAGCGCTTTATTCAGAGGCTGTCGTATTTTCTCTGATGTTCAGTTACTAATGATCCTACTTACTGCAGATGAGTAGAACAACGTTTCCTTCGAGCTCATGCTTCAGAAACAGGCAACAAACAGTAACACATAATTTGTTTATCAATAAATGAGAAGAAAAACAGCCAGAAAGAGGATATTGTAAATTTTTACCATTTACCATTAGTTTTCAGATGAGAAAATGAAGGCAGACTGATATTTCTAGTATCACACAAATAATTTTCAGAACCATACTTCACACCTGTTTGATGTTTTTCTCACCCCATCTGTTTTTAGAACTGCAGGCTAGGTGCAGTGGCTCATGCCTGTAATCCTATCACTTTGGGAGGCCAACGTGGGAGGATTTCTTGAGCTCAAGGATTCAAGACCAGCCTGGGCAACACAGACCTTGTCTCTACAATTTTTTTTTTTTTTTTTTTTGGTAATTAGCCAAGTGTATTCTCTTTGCCTAAAAGAAAAAAAGTAGTCGCAGCTACTCAGGTGGCTGAGGTGGGAAGATCACTTGATACTAAGAGGTCAAGGCTGCAGTGAGGTGTGACTACACCACTGCACTCCAGCCTGGGCAACAGAGTGAGACCCCGTCTCAAAAAAATAAAAAACTAAAAACGCAATGTTTATCCACACAATTCTAGCTAAGGAAAGACACCATCCACCACCTTTTATTCTGGAATGTACCTTCACTATCTGTTCTAGCCAGCAGTAGGCAGACTGTCATTCAGTTCAAGTGACTTCATTTCTCTGTCAAAAATTAGATATGAAAGTCTCCTTACACGTAAAGGGTCACTAAAGTTGCTGTTGAAAATATTAAAGAGAATATTCCCTGCTCAGGACCACTGACCCATAGAAAGATAATCAGTGAGAAACAGGCAATCCTTTCTCTAAGCATCCTGTTTCTTCACTTTCTTGGAATCATGATTTTGGTATTTGAAAGTATTTTGGAGAAACAGTATCTTAGGTGAATGCTACTACAATAATAATCTAAGAAGAAATCTCAGAGTCATCCTTACTAGTAACCACTTTTTATTTGTATAAATCTGTGGGGTACAAGCATAGTTTTGGATACCCTATTCAGCATGCATACACTAACACTAACAATAGCTGATGATCTTTTAAAAAAAAAGGGGGGCGGTCTGTGCATAATTGGATAAATGCATACAACGTGTGCTGGTCAAGTCAGGGCTTTTAGGATATTGTCACCCAGATAACATTGTATCCCTTAAATTCTCATCAACCACCCAGCCCCAACCTCTCACCCTTCCAAGTCTCCAACAGCTGTCATTCCACTCTTCACATCCATGTGCACACATTTTTTAGCTACCACTTATGAGTGAGAACGCATGATATTTGTCTTTTGGAGTCTGACCTGTTTCATTTAAGATAGTGACCTCCAGTCCATCCATCATGTCACTAAAGACAATGTTATGTGTTATGGCTGAACAGTATTCTACCAAGTACACCACAATTTCTTTATCCAGTCATCCACTGACAGACACTCAGGCTCACGTTCGTATCTTTGCTATTGTAAATAGCATTAAACATATGAGTGCATATACCTTGGCTCCACAGCCAACTCCAAGCACCAGTAGTCCTTCCCTCTGCCAGCTGGAGCCCTCTTTGCTCTGCCTCAGTTTAGGGGTAAGAGGGAAGGAAGAGGATGAGAGGAGAAAGAGGAAGACTTCTGAAGCTTCTGCACCTGTAGTGCTGCACTGTCTTACCACATTTATTTACCAGAATTATTTCAAGAATGTTTAAACTTATCAGACTGATCCCAAGTCCTGAACTTAACCCTGAAGTTCAATTCTGTGCCCCTAAACTCTTCCATGGTCCTCAAACTGTGCCTCTCATGTCTACATCTCAAGGTATTTTGTGCTGTTGCTTGGCCTGAAAGGGACCACTCTGCACTTCCCCTGCAGCTTCCCTTCACACTTGAGGTCGGCTGTGGTGCCTCCCTCTGTGAAGCATTCTCTGCTCTTCCCATGACGTCCGCTTTCCCCTTGCTCCTGTGCATTGATGGAGCACAGGGTCATGGCTTTAAAGCTGGGAGCTCTTTGAGGGGTAACTCCATTTCATTTATGTTTTATCCCCAGCATTAGGCAGGATCTCAGAGACCAAGCCACTGGTGGTATAAGAACTAATTTCAGGAAAGAGGAAAGAGAAATGATGGCTCAGCATCCCATCTCTGCGGGCATAATGGTGGTCACCGGTCAGCCATGGGACCAAGGTCATCAGACAACTCTATTCAAACTTGACATGTGGTGTTAAGGCTTTTTTCTTCAACAATTATTAAATATGAGTCTACACACAGGAAAAATAATACTTGCTTGCTGTCTCCTGGCCCCTTGCCTGCCCCAATGTGGTCTTCTCCCTTCAGGTTGCTGGGGCCAGGGCAGCCATGGAGGGGCAGCAACACCTCTGAACCACTCCTGTGGAGTACAAGCCCCAGCACTTTCTACTTAGAAAATGCAAGTGGTAGAGAAGAAAAGCAGACTTCAAGAACATTGTTATGAGGCTGGTGAGGGAGGAGTTGTCCCTGTCCTGCACACTTTTGTTAATTCCTTGCACTATGTTTCAAAAGTAACAAAAATATTAATTGCCTAGAACTTTGCTGTTGGAGTGATCAACAACCAGTCAGATGACCCACTTATTTTTCGCTTCTTGAACTTGAAGCTTTGATACTTGCACAATCTAGCAGCACCTAATTTCAACAATGACAGCAACAACTTTATATACAATAAATTAATGGGTGAATGGGGTTAATCACTTTTTCCAACTGGTAGCACTGCTAACTGGGACACCACTTACATTTTTAGAGGACTAAACACACATTCATTTTAGAAAATTTGTAAAATATGAAAAAAAAACACAACAAAATCACTCCTAGTCTCACCACCCACATACATACGTCAGAGTTGGGTCCTCCTGGCACGCCATACATTCCAAATATTAATTAAAGGCAAATCAGCACTCACTTCTGGATGTAAGCACTCTAGAAATCTATTTTGGACTCTTAGCTGACCTGTTTACCAAGACTTCTGGGCACAATCATTCTTTTGTATACACACACTGCTCTGTTTGCCTATGATCTGAAAACACCTTAGGACAAGAATATGTGGAACAATAAATCATTTTGGAGGTCTGTGTTTGAATGGACCTTAAAAGACTGCATGGTTTGATACTGTCTGCTGACCACACCCAAGGATCATTAATTTCTCCACATGAATGTGTCTGGATCTTAGTTGAAAACAGGAATGACTAGAGTGTTCCAAAGGGAGGGAGAGGGCTGTAAGATCGGAGTGACAAGCAAGAGTGGACAGGAAATTTGATATCCAAAAGAAACGCCCAGAATAAAAAGTCCCTGACACAAGGCAACAAGCCTTTCCAGTGAAAGGCGGGGCCTGTGCTGCACTCAGAAGGGTTTAAAGAACGAGACCGACACCGCCTGGAGACAAACGGAGCTGGTGTGGCCGGAACAGAAGTCCCAGCTCTCACCTGGAACCTCAGGGGAGGCACAGCAGCCATCCAGGGCTCCCGGCACCCCCGCGCCAGGAGGCGCTGTCTCCTCTCCTGTCCCCTGTCCTGGGGGCCCAGAGGCCTTGAGCTGGGGGAGGGAGAGGCTCGCACTGCCACGGCTTGGGGAGGCTTCGAGTCAGTGCGTGTGAACGCAGGGCACAGCTCGAGGCCCAGGGCTCCGGAAGCGCTGGCGTCCTCCTACCTGAAATTCAGTCCGCACTCCGGCCGGCCTCCTCCGGCAGCAGCTCCCGGCCCGGGCCGCCACGTGGGGTCCTGCAATCGCCTCTGCAGCAGCTTTCAAACTGGAGCTTGAAGTTCATGTGGGCTGCAAGGCTGCACCCACCGTGAAATGACCCGATTTTCTAACTCTCCTTACCTGTGACTTTTCCTTCTGCAGGATCTTCTACGCCTCCCAGACTGAAGAACACGGTTGCTGGAGAACGCGAAAGCCAAATGCGAGCTGCATCGCGGCCCGGCTGCTGTCAGCGGTGGAAAGCGCAGCCGCGGTGCACCCCCGGCGCGGGCGGCGCCGGCGCGGCTCGGCCTCTCCCGTCGGGGCGCTCGCCGGGCGCGGGGCTTCCTCAGGAGCGCTCCCTTTCCTTTCTCACGAGGGTTGTCACCATAGAATTAAACATGTCACAGCATTTTCGTCTCCGCCCTGGGGTAGCGAATGCTGGGAACGGAGCCCGGAGCCGAATCCGCCTCTCCCAGCGAGGGCCCCGCGAGCCGGGAAAAGCCCTTTCCTTGGCCCGGGGCCACAGGTGCTCACTCTGGGGAGGCGCGGCTGACTGGCCTCCTGCACGGGACTCAGAGTGACGCCGGGCGGGCAGCCCCCGAACCGCGGCTCAGCCTCCGACGGCCCGCGGCTTCTCTCGGCAGCGCGTCCTCCCCGCGGCCTCCGGGCCCCCCGAAGCGCAGGAGCGACCGCAGCGACCCCTCGGGCAGCGCGCCCAGGCGGGCGGCGGGGAGCCGCGGCGGGGCCGCGCTCACATTTATACCCAGCTAATTATATGCAAATTAAACGACGGATTACGCAGATATTTCTAGAATAAGGGTGGTACCTTTCAGGTCCTCAGGTTGTTGCCATGGAAAGGGGCGGCCTCGTCCGGGCGTTGCCATGGCAACGACAAACTGACAGGTCCCCAAGGAGGTGGGTCTTACGGAAACCCGCTTCCCCGCCCCGTCCCGCCTCCAGCTCAGCGGCGGAGTCGGAAGACGGGCGCCCCCGCGAGTGCCGGAGACGCAAAACGCGTCGCTCGGAAGCGGGTTCTGTGGGGGCTTCAGAAGCACCTGCATTTTCACCGAAACTCGCCACCCGCCGTCCGGCGACAGCGCAGTCCCGGCCGGTCTCTCCTCTGGCCGCCTCTTCCGAGGGAGGCGGAGAGACGCGTTCGGAGGCGGCGGCCCCGCCCAGGCCGGGGGTCCAGGGCCCGCTCGCTGCCGGCTGCGCCGCCGCGGTCGACGCTTCCAGGACGCTTCGGAACGCGCGCACGCGAGCACCGCGCCGCGGGCCGCCCCTGCTGTCGGGCTTCACCGAGGACGCGACACCACCGAGCTTAGCGAGGTGGATTAAGGTCACTTCTCCTTAGACACTTTACCTGCTTAGAGCAAGCGTTCTGCAGGACAGGCCTGCCGTCCAAGCCCTCGCGCCGGCCGGGCGGTCGCACGCGGGTGGTCCCAGCACGTGGAGAGGCCGAGGCGGGGGCCCCGCGTGCGCCGGGGAGGCGGAGGCTGCGGTGAGCGGAGACCGCACAACCGCACCCCCGCCCGGGCGACACAGCGAGACCGGCCTCAAAAACGTGTTTAACGAAATCGTCAAATAACCTGTGATTCTCTGCAGAGTCCTTAAGAACTGTTAAAAATTCTATTCATAAATGCACACAGTTACTCCTATTTATTACAAATCAAAGTTGTCTATAGGAGTCTTGAAGACTCTCTAACTAGAATTGATGGGTTTGGGGGATGTTAGATAAGGTATGTCTGGTTTTTATCTCTAATACCATTGTAATTTAAACACTAAAATGTAGCAATGAAGTTGCCAAGATCGTTGGATTTTAATTGGGCTATTCAAATATCCAGACGCCAACTGAATTCACAGCAGAAAAAAAAAAAAACTATTTGATCTATTTACTATATTTTCATTTTAGGTTATTATTTTTTCCATTAGTGCCTGGCAAGTAAACAAATATTAGAATTTAAATCTCTAGGGCAGTTCGTGCGTTTTTGGTCCTTAGCAATGTAACACCAGTTAACATGGGGGCTGTAGTGAAAATGGACAAAATCAACGGAAAGGGCTTGTAAGCAATCTAAACAGACTCAAGCCAGCCATATCCCCAAGAGCCCACAGTGATGACAGATGAATCCACCTGAACTCTTACGGTCCAACATTAATGACCGATTTCAACACATTTTAGAAACTTACACATGTGACAGTAGTAATGAAGATTACATTTTACCCAAAACGATGTAGAGTCAGAGTAACCTGCTTTAACCTCACCTTTTATTCTTAGGTTTTAGATTTGTGGTATTCCTAATCTCATAAACGAAAGGGTACGCTAAGGCCGCTGAAACAAAGTAGACACACAGGGGCCAATTTGGGGTATGCAACATATCTAGAAAGATTCAAATGACACAAGTAAAATCACAAGGAACATAACGAGCTCAGCAGTTACTTCACTGTGTTCAACAGCTGAAGCACCTCATCGTGTTATTGGGCCCCAAGTTGCCCTTTATATTTTCATTAGCATCTTTCTACTACTGGAAATGTTATCTAGAATCAATATAAACTTTAATAAGAGATAAGTGTATCTGGTAATATAACCAGGAAAATGTGGTCCAAGATATTTTACTGCTTTAGGAAGAAAGGTCTGCAGTATTAGCCCTATGGTAAAATATTTATACCGTTGCTGGTAAATGATAGAGTATGTGTACTCTATAATCTTAAATCATATGCACCAATGTTTTAACTGTGGGTAACCCCCCATATAGGCACGGAGGAATGAGAGCTAAGCAGAACCCTTACACAGTTAGGGCTTGAGGAATAAAACATAGCGTCCACCCCCATTAAGTCACCTAGGCCAGGAGGTGGACAGTGCACAGCAAGGGGCCCATTCCCACAAAGGCAAGGGTCCCATTCCCATGAAGGCAAGGGCCGTGTGCAGTAAGGGGTCCACCCCCTTACGTCACCGAGGCTTGAAGGTGGGCCGGGCGCAGTGAAGAGGGTGCCGTGTGCAATACTTCTATCTATGGGAACATTATTTCTAAGAAGATTTATAGGAGGATGCTTTAAGTCACACAGCAGTGACAGAGCTGTCAAGGTTACCGCCGCCTTCTGGCAGCTTCCAATGGCTTCTATGGGAAGATGCTTTTCAAGCAGCACAGTAGCAAGAGCTGATAAAGTTCACAGTCCCCAAGGTGGATTGCCGTTCTGAGGGCAGCCTTCCACAAGAACTGGAGCAAGGTCCTACAACTCCTTTATCTTTATCAGGAGGAGTGGCTCTCACCCCAAGCCTGCCACACAGCGGATATCTTTACAATACTGAATGCTGCCGCCTGGGCCATGGATTCTTGTCCTGGTATAACTGTTTTCCCTTAAATCATGCTCTGCACTGTGTCTGCTCTAGGCATTCCTCCAATTATAAGCTGCTTATTCCTTAATCTATGCTCTGTACTGTGTCCAACTCTAGGCATTCCTCCGATTATGAACTAAAATATAATTATAGGTATATATGTAGGGAAATATTCTTCAGGCACTCATACTATCAACAAGTAATGATTATATATAGAGGATTATATAAAGGGAGACTTCAAGCCCTATTTCTATAAACTAATACATGATTATGTAAAGGATTATATAAAAGGAAATCGCTGAGTAGTAACACTATAAAGTGAGATATTCCTCAAGCCCTAACTGCCAGGGTTCTGCTTAGCTCTCATTCCTCGGTGCCTACATGGGGGGTTACCCACATTTAACAGTGAGAAAACACTGTTAGAAGCATATAACATTGCCAAATGTAGGTGGAAGCTTAAATTTTAAGTTAATGGATGGTAGATTTTAAATAAAAACAATCATTCTGGCATGTACTTCCTGGTATTCTCTTCTGCACATCACTTCTCCCAGGGGCAACCACAGACAGAAAGACCTTGTTACAGAGAAGTGTAAAGAAAACTTCTCAATCAAGACAGTTACACTAATCCCTGTAGTTTTCAGTTCAAATGATCTGGATTGAGATGGACTTTATATTAGAAAGCAAAAAGACATCTAGTCCTGCTCAGGAATATGCTGTTTTCTTAACTCTGAATCTGAATCTGTGGAGTCTTGGCCTGCTGCCACCATGGCAACCCTTCAGGAGATCAGGGTGTGGCACCAATGAATTTGCAGATCACTGCAGGTAAGCAACTTGCTAATTAACTGTTCAAGAAATGGCAAAGATCCATTCTCCCCTTCTAGCACATGGAAAATAAAACATGATTATATGGAGAACATCTTTTAAGAAACACAGAAGGAACCATCCTGCTGCTCCCACCCCCACCTTCTTGTAAACAGAAAAGCGGGTATAGTGTGGCAAGAACTTGGCACAAGGTCTCAGATGTAGAAGGTGGTTACGTAGTCATACTCAGAACTTCTTTGGCATTGAGAAATTAGATTGAGGATATTGTTAAATTATACCAAGTCCTTCAGACATTATGGATAAGTATTTTGACCCTGGAAACTACAATTTTCATTTGGATAAAACCACGTACATTCTAAAAATGGTTTTAAGGATTTCTAAGTAGGATTCAAATAGGTAAGAACTGATAGACATGGTGATATCCCTAGACAGTCTAACTTTATTATTAAACAGATTTCATACCGAACTTTTTCATAGATACTGAATTGAAACCATGCTTAGTATTTCAGTAGCAACACATCTATTTTTAGTATCTCAACTTTTACCTTCATCAAACCAATTAAACATGGAATATCATATCAAAGCAAAAAAAAAATCTGATGCTATAAATAGCTAGGAAATGGCTAGAAAATGTGCAGCACTGGGTGCTGACATATATGTATTCTGCTCACTTCTAAATCAGGAGCTTATTAGACAAAGACGATCACTGCTAACACCTATGAATAAAAACAAAGGGAAATAGTTGGTGACTAGGAAATGGGGCACAGAGAACCACTGTGAATGCAAAGGGCAGTTCTGGGATGAGGTCACCCATTTTCTTAACATGTGAGACATCACCAGGAGAGTGCCAGCCTCAGGACTAACACAATTAGACACCCGAGCTGCTTCATCCCAAAGGGGCTGGAATGGGAGCAGGGGACAGGGCGGGGCTAAACTTGGGATTCCCAAGCGCGTTCCAGAAATCCTTGCCCTCACCTTCAATTCTGTCCTCTCCTTTCGTGTAGTCTTATTGATACACCTAATCATTTGAAAGCACATATAAAACCTATAAAAAATGCTTTAGTAACCAAAAATAATCTTCCCTAAGAAATGCCTAATCTCTTTAAAATTACCTCTTATAAATTCCCATTTATTTTCAGAAGTTGTTTTCCACAAGATAATATAAATGGTGGATGAATCTTCCATCCTTTATAGGATCGAAGATCACTTTCCTTGAAATGAGACCTCCAATCTGGGCCTGCACAGGGACTCTTTAGAGCAGGCGTCCCCAAACTGCGGCCCCCTGAGGCCATTTATCCGGCCCCCCGCCGCACTTCAGGAAGGGGCACCTCTTTCACTGGTGGTGAGAGGAGCACAGTATGTGGCGGCCCTCCAACGGTCTGAGGGACAGTGAACTGGCCCCCTGTGTAAAAAATCTGGGGACACCTGCTTTAGAGCATTTATTTGTAGCTTATGAGAGTCCAAATTTGAGATCCTATTTATATATATATTGTGATGTCTGAAGTGTGCATTGTTTTTCTTTTCAGTAAACTGTCTTGTATGGTTTTTCTGTATCATCAGTCTTCCCATTCTAAACAAGCTGCCTGGTAGGCGGCCAGGAAGTGCAACGAGTGAACAGGATCTGTGACTCTCACAGGATGTTTTTATGAATTTTATGGCTCTACCTTTCAAGATATAC